TAGGCAAGGAAATGTGATTTATAAAAATGTGTAATTAACCTGGTAGGATTGTCCTTACTCTATCATTTGCAAAATTTGAAAGGCATGTTACACTATTGCCTATTTCTAAGTCTTTACCGCACACACATACAAACAAACACACGCGATAACACACACACATATACACAAACAGATCAACACACATACACACAAAAGAACAGTGATGCGAGTGTGTATTATATAACACTTATGCTGAAATTAACAGGAAAAAAACAAGGGCAGGACACAATTCAAATAAATCTATTTGAAAAAATTGCATACTTCTGTTTTAAAAAAATGAAAAAGTCAAAAAACGAACACATGACTGTTGCTCTTCTACTAAATAGTACCCAAAAAATCTTTAAGAACGTCTGTTGTCTTACATCACTGTTAAGGCAGAAAAGACATAAGCACACGTTGTGATCAGAAGAAGAAGAAACCTGAGTGTTAGAAAAGTGAATTATAACATCTACAAAACCAGCCACAAAAAGCATTATATCATAGGAAAGGAATAATAACAAATTTCCAGAAACAGGAGCAGCATTATCTTAAACTCGAATCAGACTAGAAAGTAAGCAACTGCATTTTGGGTTTCTATGATTTCACAACTTTTATTGATAATTTAGTTTAGTTTACTGGAACGAGGCACTTTCCCTTACTTCGAATGAGGAAGCCTTCATCCGAACTTCATTCCCTTTTTGTTTTTTAGTCTCTTTGAAAAATTTAAGGTGTTCTTTTTCGAAAATACTTTTTAAAGATAACTTCGCATTTTCAGGAAAAAACATGACCGGGACTTATCAAAATGTGCATGGATGATTTGCAAATTAAATGCTGCAGTGGGGTTGGCTCTTCTTTCCTTTCAAACAGTTATCGCCGTCATCTCTCCTCCTTTCCTTTGAATGTTACTCTCTTGTAATGTCTATTTTTCAGCATGTATGACATATTAAATACACATTTTGTATTGGAAATGCCATTTAACTCTTAAGAAACTCAAAATGTGTCGAAACGGTTATGTACCTAACAATTTATTTATAGTGAGACATTGTGGTGAAATGCAGGCGCTATCTAAAGTCTAAATAATGAAATCGAAAATATCTCCATTTCCCCGCGGGTTCGGCTATTTTTATGAAAAGATTAGGGATTTTTGGGGTCAACATCTATTATGTCCATTTGAAAACACATTTTTGCGTGGAGTTTTAAAGAAAAACGTTGATTAAAGCCACAACAATAAATGTACATTTTCAATTTTCTTTCAAGAGGTCTCAAGCTATGGAAACAACCCAACTTTGGCGGCCATTTTCTCGCGAACTTTACCTCTGGAACCAGGCAACACCATTTCGTTCAACTACAAATATCTCAACTTCCATCCAAGATAGATTGGTGATTATTTTCCATCAAAAGCAAGACAAATGAACAAGCTTTAAGATGATACTAATAACTTCACATGTTCCAAAACTGACGGGTGCTTAATTCCACTGCGTTATGATTATCCAAAGCTAGTATGTGACAATTTGAAGTTTATATGAAGTCAGCGAAACACAATGAGACAGATAACATGGAAACGTTCGAGGGTAGAACACAAGCTTCAGAAATAGCTGAAATAGCTGTTCAACTCGGTGTTCGTTCTGAATCATAGAAACATTTCTACTTCCTGGAATATCCAAAGATGTGACTTCTACAGATGTAATCACAATCGACATAGAAACTCCACTGAATGATGATGATGATAATAAAAACAATAATAATAATAAAAATAGAAATAATAATGATAGTAATAG